GATGCAAGGCCACCATGCCAACCGCTGCGGGCTGGTTCAACAACACGGACAAGGGAAACCAGGTACAGTGGCAGTGGGGATGCCTTTGTCTTGTCCTGTCGTGGAGTCGACATGGAGCAAGCCTCTTCGTCACAGGCGTCGAGTTGAGGGACCGCCTCGTTCCAGAGGCATCGCAGGCGCAGGCGATCGAGCATACGACAGGGGAGTGGCTTTTGGACGAGGTAGAGGACCGGGGCTTGCATTGGTGGCAGTGGCCGGCAGCCAACGACGAAGCACTTGTTTTTCTTTTTCACGTTGCACGCCGTAGTGGCAAGTGGCGTTGATGGTGATAGGCGCAATCTCATGATAAGGAAGACGTTTCCGGAGAAGCATTGCGGGCCAATGCTGTTGCGGGATACCGGGGTTATGGTATTCGGAGCAAGGTACTACAGGCGCCTTACTCTAGCTTCACGATGAAGGAGACGATTGCTGCACATTCGGGGGCCTTGCGAGCTTGAGAGTGGTCGGCACGTGCGGCCGAGGTGTTGCATCGAGCGAAACTGAAAATGGGATGATTCCTGAGAATGCTTTGGTCAGTAGTATGACCACCCAGTGGATGTGGTCGAAAGGATAACGAGCGCGGACCACTCGACCCCTGGCCGTACGGGTTTCATGCAAGTGATGGCAAGCCACAGTGCCTGTTCACCTACCGCAACCCAACCAACGCCAGACGGATATTTCGGTCATTAGAGGAGTTGGGTGACGACGGGAGATGAGTGAGTGCGACGGGAGACAGGCTTGACGCGTGGGCGGTTGAGGGATGTCTAGGCCGAGGGCCTGGCAGCTGTCAAGGGGTATTTCAGTGGGTGTTCCTTGTCTTGGGCGTAGAGTCGTCGACTGTCTCAATGGCGTTGCACCAAGGCCAACATGTCAAGGTACATGTGGATATATACCGTATATGGGGTGAGATGAAGCCAAAGGTGGTGATTCAGATCGACACGAGCCGCCTCGAGCCGTGGCAAAGAAAGCAATGACCAGAGTGTAGAAGGCGGCAGCGGTAGCCGTATGGTGGCTGGTAGACCGGCTAAAGCGCTGGGCAACAGCAACGGACGGCACTTTCAGGTAGGGGCACCGAATGGAGCATGGCAGATGGCGGGCAGGTAGGCGCTGTGCACCAAGGAAGGCAAGAGGCCGTTTGAAGAGGCTTAGACGAGCCTGCCATGAGCATGAGGTATCTATCTACCTACAGAACCTCTTGCTACCTACCTACCTACGGAAGGCACCTTGGCCCTGGTTCTGGGGCTACCATGTACATGAGAAAGACGGAACCCCCACCGCGCCTGCCCGCCAGCTACCCCAGCCAATGACGGACGGACGTGGGGGGCCCTTTCCCTTGTTCTCTGGTGCGAGTGGTGCCTGCCTCCACTATCTCTCTTTATCTCGGGTCCAGACGACAAACGCAAATGCGTTTCCTTACCACCCGCCACGGAGGAACTGCCCTGAGAGGGCCGGACCATCTTATCATGTTGAATGTCGCAATTTTGCCTGGTGCAACAATCACCTCTTCATCGGCTTGAACCCCTGAATCGTCCCAGTGGTTCGGTCTCGTATTATTCACGCCTCTGTATCCAACCAGCTAACTAGCTGCCTTTGACTGCCAGCTGCGCCGCTTGCGGTGGGTGACATCAGCTACGCGGAACAAAGGCATAACTGGTAGCCCCTCCAGCGGCTCGCTCGAAGAACTCTTCGTTTCAAGAAACTGAAGAATCTACCGATGACACCCAAATCCAGGGGCCAGTCTGTCTGTTGACAAAGCCAGGAAGAACAAGTGGCAGAACCCAGTCAGTGCGAGAGGAGACCTCCAAAAAGGAAAAGAAACGACGGAAGCGGATACTTATTAGACCATGGCCGTGAGCTTGGCAGCCGCTGGTGTCAACCTTATCTTTCGCGTCGCGTTATCTCGCGCTAATATGAGACCCTGTACGTGTAGGCACCCAGCACCCAGCACCCAGCACCCAGCACCCCGGTGCCCCCATCTCTCTCCGCCTGGTCTTCTGCCAATTGCCTATGATGGTTGTGCACCACTTTACTTGGACCTCCGCCATCCACCCACGTCTTTTCGGTAGTCGAGACGAGTCGAGCCCAAGGTGCAGGGAGAGAGGCCAGGCGATCAGTCAATCCGTCGTCTAAGATCTACGCGTCAAACCCACCCCTGCCACCTCTCCCTGAGGGCTTGCCAGGACAGGCCGGCGAGAACAGGCCTTCGTCTTTGGTGACCATTGCGAGTGGCCGACGACATTGCTTCTTTTACACGGGCGGTACCTGGCACAGCATCATGGAACATGGGTCTCGCATGGCCAGATAAGCTCTTGTGCGAGCCATTGCGCCAGACGGACAGGAGCACTCACCAGAGAGGTGCGAAGCACTCCCCGCCTTGAAAGGAGAGGGCGAATGGATGTATCGAGGAGTCGAGGTGTCGACCTGGCTGGTTCCATAAAGTGCTTGGACGCCGCCCGCTCTTCCCGAGCTTGCGCCCGCACGTCGACACTTAGCTTCCCCCCTTCGTCGACCCCCGTCGCCCGTCGTTTGTTCTGTCCGACTGCCCCGTCGCCCCCGGCCATTTTCGCTCGCAAATCCACAATTGCTCTCCTGCTCCATCGTTTCCTCCTTCATAATTCAACCAACGCCTCGCTGATCCATCGACGGACGGGCTTCTGAGCTCAGCCCAGCCCAGCCCAGATCTGCTCTGCGACGACACGGCGCATGCGCACGCGACAGTCATCTCGCCGACAGACTGCAAACGGGTTGCGCGGCATTTCCGGGGTATTGCCTGCTGTGGGGTTGCCAACTGTGCCCTCCCTGCACCATCCACCAAATCGCTGAACCGCCTGCGCCGCTGGCACTGAATCTCACAGCATTGTATTCTGCTATCGTCAGCAGCCCCAACGCCCACCATGGCGGCCACCGAAATAGACCTCGATAACCTCAACTACGTTCCTAAATACCCGTACAACGGCACCGGAGATTCTGGAGGCGACCCCCTGAAGGATGACCTCAACATCTGGTATGAGTCTGGCGATATCGCCTTTCTCATCATATCCACGGCACTCATCCTGCTCATGATTCCCGGCATCGGCTTCTTCTACTCAGGCCTCGCCCGTCGCAAATCCGCCCTCTCCCTCATCTGGCTCTCTGTCATGTCGGCCGCTGTCACCAGCTTTCAGTGGTTCTTTTGGGGCTACTCTCTGACCTTTTCTCATACTGCCGGTCCTTTCATTGGCAACTTTGCCAACTTTGGCTTCAACAACGTGCTGGCCCGCCCCTCTGTCGGCTCAGCGCGCATCCCGGATCTCCTGTTCGCTCTCTACCAGGGCATGTTCTCCGCCGTCACCGTCGCCCTCGCTACTGGCGCTGTCGCCGAGCGCGGCCGCATGCTACCCTGCGTCATCTTCATGTTCATCTGGGCGACCGTCATCTACGACCCCATCGCCTGCTGGACGTGGAACCCTTCGGGTTGGTCCAGCCGCATGGGCGGCCTCGACTTCGCCGGCGGCACCCCGGTCCACATTGCCTCGGGCGCCGCTGCTCTCGCGTACTCCATGATGCTCGGCAAGCGTCGTGGCCACGGCACGCACGAGCTTAACTATCGCCCCCACAACGTCACGCACATTGTCATCGGCACCGTCTTCCTGTGGGTCGGCTGGTTCGGCTTCAACGCGGGATCGGCCTTGTCCGCCAACCTGAGGGCTGTCATGGCGGCCTGCGTGACGAACCTGTCGGCCTGCGTCGGTGGCGTCACGTGGTGTGTGCTCGACTACCGCCTCGAGCGCAAGTGGTCCACGGTCGGCTTCTGTTCCGGCGTCGTCGCCGGTCTCGTCTCCATCACGCCCGGCTCGGGCTACGTGCCGCTCTGGTCGGCGCTCATCTTTGGCTCTTGCGGTGCCGCGTTTGCCAACTACGCCACCAAGCTCAAGTTCCTCCTGCGCGTCGATGACGCTCTCGACATTTTTGCCGTGCATGGCGTTGGCGGCCTCGTGGGCAACATTCTGACGGCCTTCTTCGCGGCCGACTACATTGCGGCACTCGACAACGTCAGCTCGATCGAAGGCGGGTGGATCAACCGTCACTGGATCCAGATTGCGTACCAGGTGGCGGACTCGTTCGCAGGAGGCGCCTACTCGTTTGTGGGCACGTGTATGATCCTTTTCCTCATGAACATGATCCCAGGGCTGCGCCTGCGCGTGGACGAAGACGCCGAGATCCTGGGCATTGACGATGCCGAGATTGGCGAGTTCGCATACGACTACGTCGAGCTGACGCGCGAGGTGCTGAACGACGTCGAGAACGAGGCGGCGAGCGGCTACTCGAACGACGGCGGGTACCCGCCTGCGGAGAAGAACAGCATTCCGCTGATGGACGCCAGGGCCTTTGCGGGGTCATCGCAGTACCAGGGCGGCCATTACGGGCCTACCGACTAACGGGCGATGCGCGGTGGCGTAGCGATCGTGGGCGTCGGAGGGCGTGCTGTGTGCGTATAATGATGGGATCGAGAGCTGCGTGTTTGACGGTTTATGATACCTGGGTTCGAGCTTGTATGCTTCCACCACCCACTGCATTTTTCCTATTTCTGTACGATATATAGACAATAGCACCACTGGCTAATCTGACGACATGTCTTGTTTCGGACGTTTGAAGTTCTCGGACCAATGAAGGTTGATTGTGAGTAAGGGGAGGCGGAATGATGGTCGAGATGCGGTTCATGGTGGATACCTAGGGATAGATGGTACCCAGTTGCCAGCAGCTGCCCAATGACAGCTGCACCGACTTGCTGCCTATTCAAAGGGCCGAACAGCCCCACCTCGACCGTGCAGGCAGGCAACCGCTACCATCATGAGCATTCACGTCGACGACGTGAACCTTGGCTATCTATCCGTACAGGCTCGCCTTTCCCATGACAACAACACCAACACAATGTTTCGCTTGGTCATGTTGATCGACTTTCCTTCCTATGAATCCCCAACATGTCCTCCCGGGAACCGTCACTCGCAGACAAAGAGGTCTTCTTCGCTGAGCTCTGGGCCCTAGGCGCTGACCTCAACAGCGAAGAAGATGCCATCGATGAAGTTGAGGCCGAGCGAGGCCGGCGCTCAAGGTTGGCGCTCCAAGGCAGACCATCGAGAATCACCAAGTCAAACAAGCGCTCTATGCCTCCTGCCTTCTCCGTCTCAAAGTCGCCAGTCTCTGCCTCGCACCCTCGAAGGACGGCCTCATCCCCTCTCCCTGCAAAAGAACCGCCGGCCGCCAAGACCATCGAGCGAACGCCTCTTGCCGCGATGAGGAGGCCTGGGAAAGAAGCCGCAAAGGACTCGCCCTCGGTCGTCGAAGAGACGCCTATCCCCGACTCGACACGTGCGCCGTGCCAACCCTTCCATCTCCTGCGCACGACGTCCACGCCCAACCCGCCGATGAGGCAGTTGCACCCGCCGCCGCACCGCGACGAGTCGCCGTCCCTCAACGCGACGGTGAAGAAGCGCAAGCGTGACGCCCCTGTCAAGCTCGTGCCCGCGCAGCAGCAGATCTTCAGAGAGCAGCACTTCTTCTTTATCCCCAACGACGACATTGCCCCGGCGAGGCGCATCCGCATCCGCAAGGCGCAGGAGTATGGCGCCTCGTGGACGCGCAGCCTCGACCGAGCCTCGCACGTCATTGTCGACAAGGGCCTCTCGTGGAAGAACATTGAGCCCATCGTGACGTCTGCTGGTGGCGCCGGCACGGCCGTTGTCGTGAATGAGACGTATCCCCTCGACTGCATCCAGTTTCGGAGCGTGTTGAACCCGAAGCAAAAACAGTACCTGGTCACGGGATATCCGAGCGAGCAGCTCGTCGAGGCACCAGGTGTGGCAGCCCCCTCTGATGTGTCTGTGCCTGCGGGATCGCCTGTGTCCCTGCAGTTGAAGCCGCCGCCGAACAACCCCAAACGCTTCGGTTACGTGCCGCCGCCCAGTACCTGCTCCCAGAGCGAGCAGTCGGTAGAGGAGGCACAGAACGAGCTGGCTGTGCCGGGGCCACCAGAAACACCCGCGGCCCACGAGGCAAAGATGGAAGACGAGCTCGCAGAACTCATCTCGCAGATGCAGGAATTTAGGGATGTTCCCTCTGACTCTGATGACGACAACGGCGACGGCGATGCCCCCATTGCAGGCTCCTCGGAGCCCCTTTCAGATGCAGAACACTCCGACGGTGAACCGAGCGGCAAGAAGCAGAGGCCGGTGCGCGCCACCCGACGTAAACAGATTGCCTGGGAGGAACGCTTTGCCTGCACCAGAGGCGGGCTCAAGGACGACGACGGCAAGAACCCCAACGCGCGCACCATTGACATGCTGCAGCACATGGCCGACTATTATGGCCGCATCAACGACACGTGGCGACCCATTGCCTACCGCAAGGTCATCTCGCTCCTCAAGCGGCAGACGCGCAAAATATCGACGGCTGCCGGGGCCATCCGTCTGCCCGGCGTCGGTGCGCGGCTCGCCGACAAGATTGAGGAGATTGTCACGACCGACAGGCTGCGGCGCCTCGAGCACGCAGAGCGCGACCCGGCCGACGAGACGCTGCAGCGGTTCGTGCGCATCTACGGCGTCGGCAACGCGCAGGCGAGCCGCTGGATCGCCCAGGGGCACCGCACTCTCGACGACCTCCGAGCCAGGGCCGTGCTGTCGGCGAACCAGCGCATCGGCATCGACCACTACGACGACCTCAACACACGCATCCCGCGCCGCGAGGTCGAGGCCCTCGCCGCCGTCGTCCGGTCGGCCGCTGCCGCCCTGGACCCCAGCGTCGAGCTCATCATCGGCGGCAGCTACCGCCGCGGCGCCGCGTCGAGCGGCGACATTGACCTGATCGTCACGCGCGAGGGCACGACCTCGACGCGCGAGCTGCTCCCGTTTCTGACGCGGCTGACGCGCACGCTCGAGGCGCGCGGGTTTCTCGTCGCGGCCCTGGCCACGTCGCGCGACGACGTCGCCGGCGGCGGCACAAAGTGGCACGGGTGCTGCGTGCTGCCCGAGCCGGAAGCCGCGCGTCTGCACTTGGGCGAGGGCGTGGGCTCCGAACGAGGCTCAGATCCAGGCGCGCCCTCACCCGCGACGCCGTACCGTCCCGTGTGGCGCCGGATCGACTTTCTCGTCGTGCCGGCGGCCGAGCTCGGGGCTGCGCTGCTGTACTTTACCGGCAACGACATATTCAACCGCAGCATGCGGCTGCTGGCGGCGTGCAAGGGCATGCGGCTCAACCAGCGCGGGCTCTACCGCGACGTCCTGCGGGGGCCGGACCGGGCCAAGGTGACCGACGGGGCGCTGCTCGAGGGGCGGGACGAGAGGCGCATCTTCGCGCTGCTGAACGTGACGTGGCGCGAGCCGCACGAGCGGTGGTGCTGACGGCATGGCGGGACGTGGAAGGAGGCCTTTGACGGGTATTTGCACGCATGACTGGAGACTGGATTCTTTTTTCTTTATTTTCTTCTTTTTGGGGTGGTTTGGCTGGCTGGCCTGCTGGCCTGGCTCGAACGTGCCGTTGGATCGGAGTGGGTTCGTGCAGGCTGTTACTTGGATAGGCTGGCACTGGGTATGAAGCTGCAAGAACGTTTACGAATGACAGACGTGGATGGCAACATGCTGACGAGGTCATTGCATTGAAGAGTCACCAGAGGCCGACTGCTCTGCTCGTCAGTCTCAAGCTCCACGAGCTGGTGTTCGTCTCGAAGGATTTGCCCCTGTAGTAGCCGCGTGCAGAGCAGAGGAAATCGCACCTCGTTGAACGCCGTCCGGGCATGCAGGAAGGGTTTACTTGATGCTCGATGCTGTATGCTGATACGATGCTTGGCGACGATGCTCGATGGTGCTCGATGCTGACAAGGATGCTCGATGGTGCTACGATGCTCGGCAATGATGCTCCCTACGACGCTTGGCACTCGATTCTCCTTGTTCATGCTAACATCATGTGTTATAATTGGAGTGTACATGACCAGCCAAGCAGCACCGAAAGCTGACGAACAGCATGGCGTTGCAGGCCACAGCAAGACCAGCGATGCTCCAGCAGCTGCACACTTCGTCCCGCGTCTGCCACCAATCGTCAATGGTCCTTACGTCGCATCACAGGCCCGGACTCCTCGAACCCCTGTCTCGCTCTGCCTCGTCCCCCATCATCAGACAAGCACCAAACCTAAAGGACATGCCGGGTGCCCTACCCGTAGCAGGCGTCTCGTGCAGCCACGGGCAGGTCACGAACTGTCGTCTTGGCCGTCAGACGCGCTTCCCCTGCCGCAGCAAATCGCCCACTTTGGGCGGCAGCACCAGCGCCCCGCGGTCGTTCCGGCGGAAGAAGTCGACGAGCGCCACGGCCGTCTTCTCGGGCAGGTCCTCGTGGATAAAGTGGCCGGCCTCGGGGAAGACTTGCAGGGCATACCGCCCCTGCATCTGACCAATGGTCAGCGTCGTATCGAGGCGGTCCGTGCCGGCGAGGAGCAGCAGCTTGCCGCCGCGAGCGGCGAGGAAGCGGGCCGAGAGGCCGGTGAACCAGTCCTCCCAAAAGGGCTGCGTCGCGGCGAGGTCGGTGCGCCAGCGCCAGGGGCGGGCCGCGGTCTGCGGTCTGCTGCCTGTGTCTGCCTCTGTGTCGGTGGCAGCGGCGACGCGCTCGACGAGCAGGGCGGGCACCGAGGTGCGCGCCGACAGGGCGTTGCGGACGGTGCGCGAGCGGACGTGCCACTCAATGGCGGCCTCGATAGAGGTGAAGCCGGCGGGGCGCGTCGACAGGTAGGCGTGCATGCTCTGCAGGGCGTCCATGGCGGAGCCCTCGACAACGTCGAGGACTGCGTGGCCGAGGAGGCGCGGGGCCAGGTCGGGCGGCGGATCGGCGGCGAGGGAGGTGATGACGGCGCCGCCGAGCGAGTGGCCGACGAGGATCATGGGCGGCAGGGCGTCGGCGGGCCAAGCCATGCGGCGGGCCGTCAGGGCGATGACGGCGGCGAGGTCGGCCGTCAAGGTCGGCAGCGAGAGGTCGGGGCGGTCCTGGTCCGGGGTCACGGTGGCGCCGTGGCCGCGGGCATCGAGGGACAGAAAGCCGGCATGGGGCAGGGCGCGGCGGATCTCGGCGGCGACAAGAGCGAAGGAGAGGGCTGACGAGCCGGCGCCGTGGTGGGCTACGAACAGGGGACCTCCTTGCGGTGAGGGGGACGTCAGGTAGGCATGGTACGTGGTCGTGGCGTCGTGCTCGAGGAACAGCTCGCGCTCAAAGTAGGTCGTCCACGGCACGGGCTCCCAGGAGCGGCCGGGGCGCGAGAGGGCGGCGCCTGGGCGGGCGAAAAGACGCTGACTCGGCGACGGGATGATCGTGCCCGTAGATGACGCCGACGACGCCGAGGACGAGTCGCCGTCGTCGAGGTGGTCTGGTAGTTCCGAGAGCTCATCTGCGTCGTCGTCGGGTAACTCGTCAAAGGGTTCTGGGATGGCGTCGACCTTGCGCTTGGCCCAGGCCCGCTGGAGGTCACTCATGGAAGAGCCTGGCCGAGATGGCAATGGTCGTTGTGACTGTTGGAGACAGATAGAAAAAGAGAACGAATGTACCGGGGTCAGAACAGCAGCGCAGCTTCAAATCGTCGGGAGCAAGAGCACGGGTGCCTCGACCCATGAAGCAGAAGCAGATGCAGGAGCAGAAGCAGTATACGAACAAGAAGACGGAGACGTATGCAAAGAAGAAGAAGCAAGAGGAGAAAACATTGGATGATGGTGAGGTTAGCTGTTCATCCTCTGCAAAGAAAAAGAACCGTACGGGGACGAATATCCTGCGATGTTGGTGGCATGACGTTGGAAGCAGCGCCCCACGTCAGGTACCAAGTACCTTCCTTCCTTCCATCCTTCCTTCCTCGCCGCTCGCTGCCTGACGTGGGAAGGGAAGGTGCATGCATACGTAAGCAGCACGCACCTTCCTGCCATCGCTTTCGACGACACATGCGGCCACAGCCCGACGCGACACGCGGCAACAACCCGACGCGACACGCGGCACCAGCCCGACGCAACACGCGGCACCAGCCCGACTCGACATGGCTCACTGTGCACAGCAGCATCACTTTCATGACCGTTCATTCATCCCTACTGCATGGTATCCACGAAGGGAATGGTATCTACAGCTGCGTACCTCGGCGAAGAAACACTCGAAAATCAAACTCGAGAGAAGAAAAGAGAAAAAGAAGAGAAAAGAAAAAGAGGATGGCGCCATGCCGGCCAAAGCCAAACGAACACAATGCGCAGATATGTAGAAGCCCTAAAAGAGTGTAGGATGGTGCCGAGGAGGCGTGGGGGCTGGGCCAGAAGCCGCGCGACGACGTGTGGGCATCTCTCTTGTTTACAGGTGAAAATAAAGGCAAGTCGTATTCCCCCAACTCCTAGAGCACCGACGCCTAGAGCACGAGAAGAGGCGTGCCGAGCTCACCCCCTTGTCGTCGCCGCCTCCGATTATGCAGTGGTGCTGCTGGCATGTCATCCTCCTCATGCTATACGTTGCTCAAAACCCCCGGTAGCCGGCCCCTTGACCGTACCCTCCCTGACCGTAGCCCTGGTTGCGGTACGACCTGTCGCCTCCGTTGCCGCCCATGTCCGGCACCGTCGGTTGCCTCGTCACGGCCTGGCCCACCGGTGCCGCCGATGACATGAGCCCCTCCCTGCTGATGCTGCGCTCGTGCATTGGCGTGCTCGGCGTCAGTGGGCGGTACGCCGGGTGCACGCTGCCGCCGAGAAAGTTGAGGCTGTTGCTGGCCTGGCTCGGGTGGTTCTTGTGATACGTGTTGTACTGCGCCGCCGCCGCGCGGTCGTACATGTCGCGGGACGGGTCGCGCGCGTGCGACGCCACGCTGGCCTGGTTCTTCTCGACGGCGGACGCCATGGCGTACGTCGTCTCGCCGTTCGGGCCCGCCTCGGGGTCCTTGCGGTCGAGAAGCAGCGAGTTGCGCGCGTCGAGTGGTGTGAGGTTGTCCATGTCCCGCTGCATTTTCTCTGTGTCATTTCGTTAGCAATCTCGCAACAGCCTCGAGGAAGCAAGAATCACGTACCCATCTCCTTGCGACGCTGGCGGTGCGGGTTCACTTTGCAGCAGGCGTTGAAAGCGTTCCACATGATGAGGATGGCCAGGAGACCCGTCAGTGCCGACTGCACGGCAATGAGCACGACACCCGTCACCGTCTGCGTCGTCTGCGCGATGCCAAACTGCTCGACGAAGACGAGGATGCACACGACCGAGATGACGCGGACGACCTGGATGGTGATGCTGATGACGTTGCCCGACTTGCGCTCGTAGGGCCGCTTCCACAGCAGCAGAATCAGCAGCAGCGCCTCGACGATGAGCTGGCCCGACGCCTGGAACAGGCCGTGGCCGTCGCCCGCCGCGATGATGGTGCCCTTGGCGAACATGTAAATGATGATGGGGATGAACAGCCACCAGTAGTCCTTCTTGTACGACTCGTAAAAGAGCGAGTACTTGACCCAGACCTCCTTCTTCTCGTACAGGCCCGAGCTGTCGCCCTCGGCCTGCTTGAGCTTGCGCGCCGTGTTCCAGATCTTCCAGGCGAAAAAGGCGAGGATGCCCGTGAAGACGGCCAGCGTCACGCCGGCCAGCGTATTGGCCGCCCACGAGTCGCCGTGGGTGAACTGGAAGATACAGTAGAGGACCCAGATGCCGTAGAGCAGCAGGATCAGAGACGTGATGGTGCGCGCAATCGAACCCCAGTAGTGCTCGCGGAACCCGGACAGGGCCTTGGGGAAGCTGCCGAAGAGGGCCCAGAACTCGAGGATGACCTTGACGAGAAGAATACTGACGACAATGGCGGCGATGACAATGGCGATGATGAGCAGGACCATCAGGAACGTGTTGGCAGCAGGGACGCTGAGCTTGTTGACGTAGGCCGTGATACCGTCGACCGTCTTGTTGATGCCGCTCTCCTCCGAGTCGTCCGAGCCGGCGCTGTCGCCGGTCCCGCCAACCGTCGTGTCGATCTGGCGGGCCAGCAGCACGGAAAACTGCTCCATGGCGCGCTTGGCCTTGAACAAACCGCCGCCGTTGTTCTGCGAAGTCGATCCGTCGGGGAAGGTGAGCGTGGCGTTGCGCAGCAGCTCGAAACTGTCCTTGGTGAGGTCACCACCGGTCATGCCGCGGAAGTTGTCAATGCCGATCTGGAGGTCGTTCCATTGAACGATGCCGGTGGAGAAGGCAAAGTTCTCAGAGAAGCTGCGGTAGACGGGCGGGTAGTTGACCGACAGCATGCCGTTCATGGCCATGCCCTGGAACCAGCCGAGCGTCTCGGTGAAGCTGGGGCTGGGGGTACCAGCGCCACCAGCGCCGCCGGCTGCGGCACTGCCGCCAGCGACGGCGGAGCTGAGGGCAGAGACACCGGTAGCGATGAGGGCGACACCGGCGATGCCGACGGCGACATAGGACACGGCGGCGACGCTGGCCGTCTTGCCGTTGGAGACTTGCGACTGGATGCAGGCGACCTCGGAACCACCGTCGACCGACTTGAGCTCGAGGGTGGCGAGGGCCGCAATGTCGGGAACCTGGAACGCAATGGCGGGCACCATCTTGGCGAATTCGTCGGGGATCTTCTGGGTGCCTCGGGCGCCAAATGTGCCCTCGGGGACGGGGCAGAGCTGCTCGACAAAGGTGCTGCTGTCGCAGGGGTTGAACTTGTTGGAGTAGATTTCATTGCCGTACGCCGTCACCTTGAGTTCGGCTGTGACGTTCTGGACCTTGGTGCTGGTGCCCGAGACGTCAAACACGACCGTCTTGTCGGCATTGTTGTAGGTGATGTCGGCCTTGTTGACCCTGACGTCGGCATTGCTGGGGCCGCACGTGGTGAAGCCGACGGTGGAGAGGATCTCGTCAGCGGCGGCGGTGCTGATCAGGGTCGTCGCGGCGAGCAGGAGAAGCTTCCGCGGGCCCCATCGAACCTGGTTGGAAGACATGTTTCGGGTAGTGTGGAATGTTGATGGATTTTGGTTGCTGAGAAATGTTGGTTGGTTGGTCGGGGGTCTTGGAGGTGAGCCCCGGTCCGTCTATCCAATTCGTCTATGTGCCAGTTTGAGCTTATTCAAAGCTTCTTTCCCCTAAAGGCCATAAAGAGCCTATGATGCTCGCTTTCGTGATTGATCTGGTTGTCAAGTGATGCTAGATAAGAGAGGAAGATAGACAGATTTGGAGAGAGATAAAGATCTGGTTCGGCGGTCCCTCAGGGATCGTCGCGGATCAGGTTGGCGTGAAAGGGTTCGAGTTATAGTGTTGTAGTTGGCGAAGTGGACTCGATCGAGAGTGACGAATGGCAGAAAAACGAGGCGATCAAAGAAGGTGAAAGAGCGGGTGACAGAAAGGGTGTCGAAAGGTGGTATTTGGAAAGACGAAGCACAGCTCGAAGAGACAAGAAAACAAAGATGGCCGAGGATCAACCTGGAACGAAGGGAAAACGGTAAAAAGAAGGCGAGGAAGCCCTTTGAGGTCGAGGGCGCTACGAGACCAGGCCCAGGCGGGACTCGCGCTGTCTATCTCGTTCGGTGGTCGTTTTTATCTGCTGGACGCAATGCGGACGCGATGATAATGTGAAGATGTGACGATGGGAAAGAACGAGGTTCAGCGCAAGTGGTTGTAGTAGTAGTGATGTTTGGTGATGGGAGGCCGTGGGTGAAGGAGGGCCCAAGGTGAGGCCACAGCGGTTACGATGAAACGAGTGAACGGATGGACGATGCGGAAAGGGGGGGGTGCGATGCGTCCTTCCGTCTTTGAGTCGGGCTAGTAAAGAGAGAGAGAGAGAGAGAGAGAGAAAATGGTATGCTAGGAAAAAACGAAGGAGGGTGAATTCAAGAAACAACCGAGCCATGAGGTGGGCAAAGGAGCAGAAAAAGGCCAGACGAGACAATGCAGTGCAGGGCGAACAGACGTTGAGGTGAGGTTGGGGGGGGGGGGGGTGGCAAGCTAGGCAGGCAAGGCAGGAGCAGGGAGAAAGAAGGTAGCCGTGACTAGAGGCTGGCTCGGCGCAAGAAGGGGACCAAGGGGCGGCACGAGCGTTTGGGGCTGACGAGGCCCTGTGGTTGGCTGGAACGAAACGGCTCGTACCTGCCTTAGGTAGGTACGGTGCTGCTGGCTGCTGCCCGGTGCCCACTCACTGCCTTGATTAGCCCGGTGCCCACTGTCCACTGCCTTGATTAGCGGTTCGCTGGCCCACCGGCGAGGCCCCCTGATGGAGTCGATCCAGGGAGTTGAATAGATGGCCTGCGGGCTGGATCTGAGGTGGTACCTTGGTGCTGGTGGCTCCCTCCCGCCGGCTCTGCTGCATAAACCAGTCGCCCCCTACAGTACACGGCCGCCAGCAGATGCAAACGCAGAGAGCCCGCCGATTCAGTGCATGCTCTTGCTGCCCAGCTTGTGTGTATGGTTATTTGCTTCTTCTGCCCGCTCATCTACTTGGCTGGCCCTGTTCCCAGATTCTAATCACCCAGACTCCGCCCCTACTGTACAGAACAACCGCCGTTCTCCATGGTGCGACCAGTCTCTCTCCCCTCCCTCCCCCCCGGCCCCGGGAAATCTTCATGTTTCCACCATCGAGGATGTTCTGCGACAAGGGGGTCTCTCTCCAAAGCCAGCGACTGGACGAGAGCGACTGGGCAAGCAAGGGGGCAGGGAGAAGTGGCAGTCCCCACCCCCTTGTCGCGCGCGGAGGTCATTCGGTAGTGAAAAACACGCTTCCCGGTACCTCCAGCGCACGCAGGTGGGGTCTCCGCCGGGCCCCTTCATTGGCGCCAGGCCCCGGCGCCACCCCCTGGCCCCGGTCCGCACTTGAAACGGCGCCATGGACCGGACCCCGGAATCTGCTCTTCTCGCTCGTCGAAATCGACACGAACCTTCTCTCATCAGACCGTCCGTCCCCCTTGGCGCCGACTCTCCTATCTTTCTCTGTCTCGGCTTCTGCTGGCTGTTTGTGTCTTCTGTGCCAGTCTGTCAGTCAGTTCTCTTTGGTCGGCCCGCTGACTGCCGTCCTTGACCAGGCCACCTGAAGCTGCCTGCTTGCCAGCTGTCTGCCAGCCTGCTTCGTTCGTATCCTGCACAGCCAGCGAGCACAGCCAACCTCTCCACCTCAGGTCACTCACTGTTAAGGTCAGGGCCAGCCAACCCCCGTCGCTTCATCAAAGTAACCTCGATGACGACGCCTTGGTCCGCGTCCATGCACGTTATCCTTCCCGACGCCAATCTACGTCTGTCCGTCCCCCCTCCGCTCGGCACATAGCAAGCCCCTTTTAGTGTACGGACAGGCCTGACGACGCTGAGTGCTGTGACAGCGATTCATTCATTCACTCACAAAGCGACGTCACCCTGGATGACTGTTGCCGAGTAGAGACGTAGACTACGTGGCTGGCGCGCGGACAGAAGATGCAGCAGAACACATGGCTGGCGAGGACACATGGCTGGCTCAGAAAGTCAAGTCAATGGAGTACAATAAGAGAAAAGAGATCCGGGGGGGGAGGGGGGGAGCCGCGGGGGGTCCTCCTGCCAGACGGACGATCAGAACAAACTCGCGGCACTCCACGCTTCAGAATATCCCAGAACGCCGCACGCCGCCCTCCCTCTCTCCCTGCCCTCTCGCGCGCACGAACCCACAGAAATCATCATCACCACAGTCGGTTCGGTTCGGTCCCAATGTGTCCCCCTCTCCAGGTTCTCCCCACCCTCCAACCTCGTGACGTTTGCTTGCTACTGAGAAAAAGAGGCTTTCCTTGCCTCAGATGTAGTGTTCTTGCTTTTTTTTTTTTTTTTTTTCTTCTCCTTCTTCGGTTTGACCGAACGTACGCCCTCGCCATCTGTGTCTGTAGTTCTCCTTACCGCTGTCGCACCTGTGAGCCAGATGTTCCTTTTCCCGCCATCCAGCTTGCCAGCATCTGCCGCCACCGACCAATCTCGTCATTCGCACATGGCCACATCAACATGTGACGAGTCGTGAAGCGCACCGTCGGCCAGCCTTGTGTGGTTTGACGTGATCCGTGCTGGCACTGCCACCCTATATCGTCAACCATCCCCACCTCCCATCATACACCCTCCATGGCCAATACGGAACTTTTCTCGAAGCCACACAACTAAAAGTGCGATCGACAGACTGGAGAACCTTACAAAAGGCAAGCCATGGTATATTGATAGTAACCCTACTCTGCATCCCTCGAAAATAGAACATGGTCCGTTGCATCCCGTTCGTCGGGACCATTACCGCACCTCGTCATAAACCAACCGCTTATGCCGTTACTTCGTGAATGGAGAAGACAAACCCCACCAAAAATCAGGACCTTTCTCAGCCTCGTAAATGCCATCTCCGAGGAGGAGGAGGAGGAGGAGGAGGAGGAGGAAAAGCGACAAGAAGGAGAGGGAAAAGGAGAAGCGTATAAGATAAAAGCAAGCAATGGTAGGAGAAAAGGGTATCCAAAAACCTCAGCCATACAATGTGTTTGGATCAAGAAATCGCTTTCAAATCGTGGCGAGGAAACAAATGTGAAGAACAGGAAGAGAAACGGTGAAAGGAAGGTAAGAATCTGTATGCTCACTGAGCAGCATAGAAGCCGTTCATCTCCTGGTGCGGTGACCGCGAGTACGGCGACGTCCTGCCTTGCGCTGCATACTGCGCCATGTTTGGGTGGGCTGAGATTTGGTCGTGGCCGTGGCCGTGAGCGTGGCCTTGTCCCATCAACATGCCGTACTGTAGAGAACTGTCCATCGACATTTGGCCCACACCGGGCTGGTGTAAGCCAAGGGCGTCCGTGTCGAGCGCTGGGAATGGCTCCCCGCTTGGCGGCACTGTCATGTACTGTCCTTGCCCTCCCCCGTACACATTCGTCGGCAAGGCCATGTTCTGAAAGTCTGGATGGCCGAAGCCCAATCCGTTCGTTTGGTCAATAAGCGGAGACGAATACAGCCCTTGGCCGTGATCGCCGTACGTGGACGAGAACAGGGAATCGTCGTACTGTTGCATGTTGTCTATGTACCCGAACGGGACGCCATTGTTGTTACCGAACGCCCTTGGATCGGTGACCAGGCCGCATGGGCGCCCGGCCGGAGGCGGATATGTTGCCGGCCCGTGCCGAGCCTGGGGCGACAAGTCGGTGCGGCTGGAGGTCGACTCGTTGAAAGGCACCGCGGTGTTGAAAGCATTGCGGGGCGGGGCATCCTGGACGGGGCTGATGATGGTATCTGGCTCGAGTTCTCTCTCCGCCACGAGACGCAAGATAGGGAGACTGATCTGCTCCATGTGCTTGGCGAGATGGACTGTGAGCTTCTTCCAAGAGGGGAATGACTTTCCGCAGAACCGGCACGGCTCGTCCTGAGGCTTCACCGGCGTGTCTTTATGACACTGCTCCACCTTTTGCCAGGTAGGGTCAGAACTCTGCTGCTTCACTGCAGCCTTGTTCTTGAACTTGGGCTCGGCAAACTTGTGCTCGCGCACCAGATGTTGCAGGAAGTTGTCGCGACGGTAGCACGTGTGGGTACAGTCCTCCACGTCACACGTCCACCATTCGAGGTGACGGTGGCCTTCGTTCTCGTGGCGCACCCAGTCCGCCTTGCGCTTGAAAATCTTTGGATCCCGGCATCGGTCCCAGGTGCACGTGAATGGCTGGACATCCTCGTGAACATGCTTCGTCCAGTCAGAAGGCTTGTTGAACTTCTTAGCTTGGAAGCAGAGCTGGCATTCGAATTCGGCTGGAAGACTCGGGGTGAGTGGCATCGGAATATCCGTGGGAAAGCTTTCTTGCGTAATGGCACCTTCGATCGGCGTCATATCGCCATCGTCAATGTCATAGCTGGCCGACGACGGGTCCAGGCTCTTGGGGGCGCCCTTCTGATCAAGAATCGTGGCACTCCCACCCAAAGCCACACAAAGAGGTCCGCATGAGCAGTCGGCACCGGCCTGCAAGTGTTTCTTCTTGAAGTTGAGCAG